ATTCATTTCCTTAACCACGATATGGAGGATTGTCAACTCTCCACACGGCCCGGAGTCATGCAATTCAAAGGCCCATTTTGAAATATACCTTAGAACCCCAACTCACCAATCAAGCATGAAAACATACTTCCACTATAGAAAAATTTTATAAAAGAGCGAATTTTTTTTCATTCTAACTCTCATGCATAATATATTCACAAACCGCCAATACCTTATGCATTTTAATAAACCTTTTCTCCTAATGATGAGCACATTTCACAGATTTCCATGAACTTCTCAAACCAATGACGTTTTTTCTATTCACATAGAAAAACACAACGTATTTTCAATAGATCAAGAATTGTTTATTGCACTTAAACAATCTCAATTTAAAGAAAATGGAAAACAAACATATAACCTAACAAAATCACTTTATAACGAATTCTAAGGAAAATGAATCAACTTATGGAGCTAAGAAGTCCAAAATCCTTAAAATCAACGAACACAAGCACAACAAAGAAACACGTATGAATTCGGAGTTTATTTAACTATCTTATGGAGCTAAAATAGCTTCAACAAAAACCGAATTCTACATAAAACCTACTTATGAATTTGAAACAATTCAACCAATTTAACAACAACTCGTGCAATAATTGAAGTAAATAAGAAAGAATCAATTCTCATTCATAAGGGATTATATATGAACATTTAAAACAAGAACATACACCCAAAAGAACACCAACCGTTATATTTTTTTGCCAGATTTTTTTACATGAACAAGTAACGAAAAAAAGTGATAAATTGGAAAAAAACACTTGAACATAGAAACAACAAAAGAATTGAAAATTTAAAGGGTTGACTTCCGGATTAAGTCCGGAAGCCAATTTATTTGGGTACCTATAGAAGAAGAAGATGAAGAAATTGAAGAATGGAGCTCTCTGGTTCGTTCCCCCTTCTCTGAAGCTTTAATCATCATCAATTTATAGCAAGAGGATTGTTTATCGTTGTAGATTTGAGTGAGTAGAGAGTGCCGTTGCTATTCATTGAGGCGAAACTGACGGAGGAGCGTTGAAGAAGCTGGGCGCTGGTTTATCGCGAAGAAGAAGAAGTCGTAGACTTCAATTCTCCGTTCTTTTTTTCTTTCTTGCGTGAAGACAAAGTGAGATGATTGGTGGGCTGATTCTCTATTATGTTTGTTTCTGGGCTTTGGCCCAAAATCAAGCTCTTTTTTTCAAACTTGAACTTCAATTCGACCTTTTGCTACAATTTTCTCCAAAAATAAAATATCTGATAATTTGGGTTAGGAAAAATAAAATAAAAATAATATAATGTAAAAATGATTAAAAAGCTAATATTTTTGAAAGAAAATAAAAAGAATTTAAAAATAAGAATTAAAATAAAACTAAGCTAAAACAACTAAAAATTAAAGACTAAAAATATTAAAAATGCCTAAAATAGAATAAAAAGAACCAAACCAAACCCGATTTATCAAATACCCCACACTTAAGACTTGAACGTCCTCGTTCAAAAGACCAAAATAAGTATGTTATTTCTTTTTATCATCATCAAGAAGAAACGAAGTGAACCTTAAACCCCCACATTTAAGACTTTATGCTCATTCACATTTTAAAAACAAAGTGAGCTAGAAATCCTACAAGGATGAAAACCTAAGGTGTGGATTTTTCTTTGGGTTCTAACAAATGCTCTAGAGCTGCTACAAAAAAGTTTCCTAGCGGAATCCTACGGTTTAGAACGGCTCAATAGCAGCGGTAGCAAGATTTATCAATAAGCCTAAAAATATAAAAATAACTCAATTTCTAAAAATAAAAAGCTCATAAAATTGGCTTCTCTCTGTGTTTTTTTTTCTTCAGATTTTAATATCAAGCAATGATTGATTAGGCAGCATCTAGATAATATGTGGATGGCCAGTTCTAGAAAACAAAATTCTAAGGTAACCTAGAAGGATTTCAAACATTTTAAGGTCATTTTTATCAAGAAAAGAGCATAAGACTCAATGCGGGTTTATAAAGTATACACTTGCCATCTTTCAGAATAAAGCCCCAAGGAAAATGATGAGGTTTTTGGGTCAATTTTTGAAAACAATGCTCTAAATAAGATGATATGCAACTAGGAATGAAAAGTATTTGGACCCAAAACCTATTTTTTTGAAAAAATTTTGCCCCAAAAGTTTTTTTTTAAGCAATGACATAAGCATGAGCAACTCCCCCCACACTTAAAATGTGCATAGTCCCCAATGCATCTATATGGTATGCAAATATTAAGCAAGCACAGACTTAGTAAAGAGAAAAGGGGAGAGGGGAATGCAACTAAAAAAACAAAGTATACGCAGCATCAACTCATCACTTTTCCCTCCTTAAAGTGCTCGATGGACCTAAAATCTGGGACAGCTGGAACTACTGATTTGGATCAGATTTCACACCTGTTTGTGCAGATTTTTACTCCAAAGGGCATGCTTCTACCTATGACTTAGTAGCTCTTGAATATTCACTCAAATAAATGGTTAGGAGCATACATGGAGCAAAATAAACCATCAAATCCAGTAAATGCAGCAGTATTCTGAGTACTCTTGATGATGAAGTTTTTTCTTTTTTTTGATTTTTTTTCTGTTTTCTAATTTTCTGGTTTTTTTGTTTTGTTTATTAAAGCAAAAGATAATCAAGAAACAATAGAAAAAACTAAATTAAGAACGGAAACAGTAGGTGGGTTGCCTCCCATAAGCTGCCCGGTTTAACGTCCTTGGCTAGACGAAACTAGGAAGAGTTCTAAGGTTCGGCTTCTAGTACTAACTCCTCCACTAGTCCTGTAAATCCTCCCTCACAAAAAAGTTTTAACCTATGTCCATTAACCTTAAAAGTAACTCCAGAGGATTCATTCTTAATGTCTACCGCTCCATGGTTATACGTCTTAACAACGGTGTAGGGTCCTAACCATCTAGAGCTAAGTTTCCCAGGAAAAAGTCGAAGCTTAGAGTTATAAAGAAGAACTTTATCTCCTATCTCAAAGTGTTTTCTAGAAAGCTTAGAGTCATGAAAGGCTTTTGCTTTATCCTTGTATATTACTGAATTATCATAAGCTTCTAGTCTAATCTCCTCAAGCTCTTGAATCTGCAGTTTTCTATGTTTTCCTGCCAAATCATAATCAAGATTAACCTGTT